GAGGCCATGGCCCTCTGCCAGAAGGATTCTCTGAGCAGCCTCCTGCTGCTCCCAGCCACCTCGGAGGGGTACCAGCGGTACCACCAGGGCAGCCGCTCCCCCAGGCTCTCGCGGTTCAGGCACTGAATGGGTTCAGGCGTGCACTGGACCCGGGTCCTTCAGGAGCTCATCCCTTCAAAACACCTCACCCCACGAGGCAGCAGCGATCGCAGGAACGGAGCATCTAGCATTTAGGGCTGCATACTCTTGTATCTTCGCTATCTCTGCTTCCCAACGCAGCTTGGCCGTGCGAGGAAGAAGGTGTGATCGTGAGCGTGTAAGGGGCTGGCACAGGGGTCTCCACAGTCCCCCGGCTGCTGCTGTGACAGCAAAGGGGGGTTGATTGCGAAAACTCCACTGGCAGTAGGTTCAACGTGGTTATGCCCAGAAAGTGGGGAGAGCCACAGTGTTTTCCCGTCAGGTCACTCTTCTGCATGCAATAAATATAGAAAATGCATCTCTGTGGCTGTGTTGTCTCTGCAGGCTGAGGCTGCAAAGTGGCTGAAGACGTGGCTAGTCCTCCCCCCTTGCAATCCTGTGCCCTGCAGCCCCATCTACGAAGGGTTTGCAGGCTCTTGCTCTCTCGATCTCACAGCACCCCCTAAATTTCTTTCTGCATGTAAGTCCATGTTTTTAAAGATTTTGTTATCTCTGTCTTTAAAACTGAAAACCAATGGGACTTTTCTGCCTAGTCACTTGGACACCTCTGAAAGAGGGACTTGGTCACCGAAGGGTGAATTTCCATGTTGTGTTTGAACCAGTCTAAGTGCAGGCAGCTACCGAACAGAGCAGCACCCCTGCCCCTCTGGCTGCCTGTCCCTGGTGCCCCTCTGGCTGCAGCCCAGCGATGCTGTTGGCTCTACAATGACTTGTGTCGCTTCACTGAGCTGCTGGCAGCAGAAGCCAAGCCCCAAGCAAAACCAAACCCTGTTGAAGTAGATGATTTTTGGGGCTTTTCCTGTACCTGTGCAGAGGCAGGTGTGTTGCAAGGGAAGGGCTGATCTTTAGTAGCAGGTTGATGCTTGCAGAAAACAGGGATGTGAAACTGCTTTCTACAGCCCTTGGTCTTGGCTGCAGGCTCCACCCGGCAGTACCTGCAGATCTGCACTTGCTGTTTCTTTAGGCAAGCTTTCACTCCGCTGTGTCACTTCCAGTGCTCAGCCCTCGCTGAAATGAGCAACTCCTAACTCCCCCATGCCCCTGTTGAGGTGAGACATTACATGTTCTTCCCTAGTCTCTACCCTGTTATGCAGAATCCCCTGGCTTTGTGGGATGAGAAATAGGACTTTCTATTGCCACGACCTGCTCTTCCTCCTCTCTCAAGGGCTTTGCTGCTGCTTGGAAAATGCAACACCCCCCAAAAACCCCGTAAGTGCAGAGGTTTTCTCACCCATCAGAGCAGCAGCATAGCCTCTATTGCCATACAGCCTAGCTGGCATGTGAAGTCTGGGCTCCAAGAAGAAATTCTTCCCACGCTGGCAAGCTCAGCACAGTTACAGGTCCCTCTACCTTCCTGCTGGTAGGTAGTGGCTCAGCATTAACAATCTGAGCTGAGCTGTGGAAATGCCAAGATTCCAGTCCGAGATCTGCCCAGGTTCTGTCCCATGCTCTGCAGGGTCTGTGTTTATTGTCAGGCCTATGGCTGGTATCCGTGGCTTTCTCCGCTGCCACGATCAATACAGGGGAATTTGTTGGTTTACAGTGGGGAAAACTGTTCCACGCACCCTAGAGCATCCGTTCCCAGCCTGTTTCCTCTTGGTAGAGCACTGCTGGCCCATGGGGCACTCTGCGTCGCCCTCTTGGCGGGTCTGGGCTAGCAGCAAGGACTGGAGCTGGGCTGTGATGGACGAGGGGACACATCAGGGGAGAAACCCTGGCCTGGCCTCCTGCCAGGGCAAACCCAGCACCCTGTGAGCACAGGGGCGCAGCCAGGTGAGACTCACAACCCAGCCAACCAAGGAGGCTGCTGGCAGTCCTTGGGTCCCAGCTCTTCAAAGCTGCTGGGAGCAGCCTTGCTGTGCTTTGGTTTTTGCTCTCCTCCACTGGCTGAAAGCAGGGAGGATCCATCCGCAACGGGGCTGTCACCTTTTCTGCAGCTTGGCTCTGCCAGACAGGTGAGTTTGTTGTGAGTCTTCCCCTCGCCCGGCTCTGGGGCAGGGTGCTGGGCTGCAGGGCTGCTCTCCTCAAGGGTGCAAATGAGATAACACCGTGCGTGGTTTTTAAAGCAGTGTGATGTTCACCTGGTGACTCTTTCCTGAAGTGCTGATTAAATAGTTTTGGGAAATGCTCTGTTACTAAGGAACTTGGAGTTCTGGGAATCAGGCAGTCAGTTAATCATTTTGGATGAAGTGCTCCCTGACTGCGTGGCGGGAGGTATTTATTTTGGGCTGGGTGAAGGAATGAAGAGGAGATTAGGCAGCTGAGCAGTCTCCCTTAAAGGCTGGTCTGCCTTTTGTTTCTGAAAAAAAAAAAACCCAACACTAAAAAATCCTTTTCTTTCTTACCAAGTGGTCCTCTTCTGCAGAAAGCAGCTCGCATGATGTCCTGTTGAGGTGTCCGTAGGAAGCACCACACAGCCCTGGGGCTTCCCCAGAGCCCAGCTCTCTGGCAGGGTTGTGAGTTGCTTGGGAGGAGCCAGGTAGAGCTTTTCCTCCCTTTTCGCGTACAGGATGATGCACTGCATTGTGGCTTTCCCAGAGCGGTTATTTCGACATAGTTCCCTTTGCTGGCAGTGGGCTGGGTCATAAACATTTGAAATTCAGCTTGTTGTTTCATTTAGTCAGGTTAGATGAGCTGTAGTATTTTTATTTATGTTTCTGGACTGGATTAATGTCTTTGGTATTTATTTCTTAATGCAGTTTTTTTAAAAAAACAACTCTTCTGCAAACAGCTTGTCTGGTACAACACGAGCATTTGTTTGCAGAGAGCAAACAACAGAGCATTGTCTGTACAAAATGAACCGACTTTAAAACATGTATACAAAGGCAGGGAAAGGATTCCCACAGCAGAATTCATCCATGTCTCACAAATGTGCTCCTGCGAGCTGGGTGTTATCATACGGAGGACCAGAGGTCCTGCAGGAGCACAGCAGGGCTTCAATTGTCCTGCAATATGGGTCTTGAGGCTGCTGCGTGAGCCCAGCTCCAAGCTCAATCGTAAAACCCTCCCTCCCAAACAGCAGCAGGTCAGCTTTTTCCAGGCAGCCACTCCAGCACCCCTCCTAACAACAGCTTCAAAAGCAAAGCAACCCCCACCCACCCCAAAAACCCGAGTTTGTACAAATTGCAGAGATGAATGAGCTCCCCAGGTCCTGGTGGCTTCTAAACCTGCTGGGGAAGCACAGCCCCGTGGCGTGGTGGCCCGGAGGGAGGTGAGCAACAGGTTCCAGGGTTTCACTGTCGGGGATCTGTCAGGAGGTGTGGCTCTGCATTAGGGGTGACAAAGGTCTTTTTGATGTCAGGAATCAAGCAGAGCCACCCGCTGCCTTTTGTTGGGTGGGGAGAAGGAATGAATGATGAAGCCGAAGGGCAACAGAACTTGGCTTTAGACAGGTAGGTCTTGGGCTGCGAGGGGCTTCTTCAGGGGAAGCTCTAAAGGTTTCTCTCCCCTGTGCCAATTCTCTGGTATCTAGTAGGTGGGGAGGGAGGTTTATGCTACAGCTGTGAGTGCAGCTGCCTCTCTCCTTTACTGCATTGTTTATCTGTCGTGAAACTCCAGGAATGTGATAGCTCTGGAGAGCTGTCAGGTTGTGCTGAAATCAGTGCTTGGGTTCATAGTTACTGCATGTGTGCACGTGCATGAAAAACAGGAGTGGAGAAGTTTGGATTCCCTAAGTTAAAAATCTGTCTTTTGAGTATTTAAGTGTGTAGAATATAACTCTGAACTGTTTGTGGCCACCTCTGATGGAAAGAAAGCCTACCTTACCCTACAGAGACAGCAATGGGCTGCAAACCATCTGTGTTCTGTTCCACAACAGAATCGAGAGTACATCTCTGCACCGGTGAAGGATTTTAGCCAGAAAGGATAAAAGAGAGAGTGCAGGAGAGGAGGAAGGGAGATAGCTCTGTGGAAGAAGGGACCTGCCAGATGCAGGACTGTCCTGCATCACTAGCCCAATGCATCGTGCCAAACAATAAACACTGAGGTCTCTGAACAAATGACAAGCCTTTATTTTTTTTTCTGTACTGAAAGAAAAGAAACAAAGATGTCAAAACCACACCAAAAGTCGGTGACAATTCTGCAAACATTAGAGCAGCAAAAACATTTCCAAGACAATAAAGTGAAGGAAACAGCAGAACATCTGGACCGATGATGGAAAGCCAGCTTTTCAGCTGTTACTGTTTCCAGCCGTATGCAACAAGTGCTTTATGCTAACGGTATCTTTTGGCTTCTCAGTCTGAGCTAAGGCACGAATTAAGACACCTGATAGTGCTCTTCAGCTTGTGAAACAGCAGAACGTCCGCTCTGTTAAACAGCTCAGATTAAACAATTTGTCTAATGCTGACAAAGCCCAGTCTTTGACAATAGCAGCAAAGGGTTGAGCAGAGAAGCGCTCCCCTACCCCAAGTGGAGCTCCAGCACGCCCTGGTGTCAGAAACTGCCACCGACATCCCTGACCGACATCTCCAGTGCTGGAGAGACAGAAATCACTGTGTGTCACCCTATCTCGCTGACTGAGGCAAGGACAAACTTCTGAAACATACTCTCTCACCTACATTTCAGTGTTTTATGCTGACAAATACCCTGCACCCTTTTGCTCTTCAAAACAGCTCTACTGGCTGTAACCCAGACAAACTTTTGTCTCAGCAACAGGCTGAGAGTCTGTAAATGCAAGAATGACCCCCTCCAGGCTCCTCCAGAGAAGTGAGACCTCGGATCCCAGCCAGCCTCCTGCCACGTGCCCAAAGCCGGCTCTGTACTGCTGCCCGGAGGTGCAGGTGCGTGAGGAGAGCTGCGTCCTCTCATCTGCAGTGTCTCTGCAGCGCACGCCGCTCTTCAGTGCTCAGAGGGCTTCTCCAGAAGAAATACTGGTGACTGAGGGCTGCCTTGGCTGAGATGCGCATGCTGGGATCGTACAGGAGCAATTGCTGCCAAGAGAAAAACCCAGCAGATTTAGGATTTGAAAAACCAGATCGATCGCACCTGCACGCAGCTAGGCCCAGTGCAGATGTTGGTTCTGCCTTTTCCCCTCTCCGAGCTTCAGGAGTAACCCACAACTGAAGATACTGTGAGGATTATACTAGAGAGGTTTTCTTGACCTCCATGCAGTGGCTTCCTAGAGGAATCTGCACTGACTGACAGCACCACTCCAGAGCCAGGACTAAGCCCTGTTCGATGGTGGGCTGTTTCTGCAACGGCAGAGGTGAGCATTCAAGCCACATCAGCTAATGCACTTCTGGGTAGATCAGTCCCAAATATGCCTATTCTTTGTCCAGTTTGAAAAAGTCCTGAATGTCCCCGGGTCTTGTTCTGAGCCCTCACTCACCACCAGTAAGTCTCTACCGTCTTGATCTAAGTTGGGAAAAATTTCTTTCATCTCCTTCCTTGCCCACCGGGGAAAGTCCCGCTTGTAGTCAGGCAGCTGGGTCACCCCAGGCCAGGTCGCCTCAGTGGGAGTGCCCAGGGTGCGAAAGATCCGGAAGAGCTGATCGATCTCAGAGTCTCCTGGAAACAGGGCCTTCCTGGTCACCTGGGGAATAAAAAGAAAAAGCAGCCAGTTCCCACCTTTCCATCAGTTGTGTGCTTTATTTCCTTCTGCAAGCAACCTGTTGTCCCAGTAGAGGGAACCACCTGCACAGACCAGGGCAGTTACAATGCAGTGATTCTGCCAGGCAGCACCTGGGAAAGTCACAGGTGTCTGCTTGTCTCCAGCTCCTCTCCATGGCCCATGCTCCCCTTAGGCTCTCTCTCTTTCAGCCAGTCCCTTATCCCTCTTTGTCTCCATTTTCCCAACATCCACTCTTTCAGGCTAGCTCCCTCCCTGCCTACTTACCCAGGCTCTGTCTATCTGCAGCTCGGGAGCTTTGGGAGCTAGGGACAGTGCTGTGACACTGCAGGAGTAACAAGAGCTCTTCAAAACAGAGTACGGACCCCTAGAAGATTCACTGCCGTGATATGAGAGTGTTGGTTCGTTTCAGCCCACTGTGGGGACATTTGCAAGAGCCTCATCTCCTCCCAGGATCACAATGCTGCGCCACCAAGACTAAAGTTACCCCTTCTGCAAGGAGAGGCGTCACATTCCCATGTACCTGGAACTGCAGCCGGACTACAGCAGCTGCTTTGCCTTCTGCCAGACCCCTGAGGGAGACAGATTTCCTTTTGAGCCCACAGCTAAGGATCAGCTAACCCTCAGGATGGACTTTCCACAATACACACCCCAGCACAGGGTAGGACCACAGCATCACACAGATTTTGCATCCTGACCCTCCTTCCCCTCTTCCCATTGCATCTGTGTCCTCCCGGCTCATGAAACAGACTATTTAAACCCATTCTACCATTTCTGCAAAGATGCAGCCGATGCTCCACATATCCACAGCGGTCGAATAGTATTTGCATCCCAGCAGTATTTCAGGGGCTCGGTACCACAGAGTCACCACCTGGTAAGGAAGCAACAAACAAGCTTTGTCTAGGTTCCCTGGGTGAAACTAGAGGCATGGGCTCCCCTCTTCTCAGCTGTAATGCAGTGACTGTACAAATCAGATGGTGACAATGCCATGCTCAATTAAGAGACGCCTTTAGTGACAGCAAGATTGGGATCAACAGATCATTCTTGAATAGGACTCCCTGGAACAAATAAATATATCCTATGCAGAGAAGGTGGGAACCCAGCTTGGAGGCAGGATAGGGTGGAAGCAGTCAGCACACTCTGTGGGGACACAAGGTACCCCCTCAGCTGTGAGTTAGGTTAAGAGCACGTGCCTGGGCACAGCTGTGCCTCAGCTATGGATGAGTAACTTCTGATCCTGCTGTTGTTCACCCACTATAGATCACGTACCCCAACCTCAGGTGGCAGACAGCCCCAACAATACCTCGTGAGTGTATGTGCGCAGGGGGACTCCAAAAGCTCTTGCCAGTCCAAAATCAGCCAACTTGATGGCTCCTGCTTCGTTAATGAGCAAGTTCTGCGGCTTCAAGTCCCTGTGCATGACTCTGTGCGAGTGACAGAAGCTCACACCCTGCAGCAGCTGGAAGAGGTAGTTCTAAGGAGAGAAAATAATTCAGACAAGGCCACAATGAAACCACTTTGAAGGCTGGGTTGTGTGAACCAACACACTTTGGACCATTTACAGAGCAGAATGGGAAAAAAAGCCTTGCAAGCCACTACTCAGAGCTGCACACAAACTGCTCTCCCACCCTACACGGGTGCAGAGACTCCAGTTCAAGCAGGAGTCTACCCATCCATTACTCTGTACAAAGGCAATTAGCAATAGATCCCTCAGTTGTCCTCTTAACAGCAGTTTGTTCTGCAGCGAGATGGGCTGAAGAACCTGGAAACAGCTGGGAAACCAATGTGCTGAGCAATAGTGCCAGGAGGTTTTCCCAGATGAAATGTTTCAGATCTGAGAGGCTGAATGCCTACAGCCAAGAATGAATCTCTTCCAGATGCAGTCTGGGTAAGAGCAGCTCAGTGCTGGCTCTGCCCAACTGAAGGCAGCAAGGACACCCTCTCTGCCTTGCCTATTAGCGCTCCTTCCACACTGTACCTTGACCAAGCTTAAAGGAAACTCTCCAGTTCGGGATGAATCGATGTATTTCTTCAGGTCCTGATTCAGATACTCAAACACCAGATAGAGCTTCTTCTGGCTGTGTATGACATCCAGGAGCCTGCAAAAGAAGTGCAAGCACATCTCTCAGTACCTTTGTGTGGGAATCCATGCTATGCAGGAGTGTTAGTCTCCTCTAGAGTGTGTGGGAAGACCTTCTCCAGACCTTTGCCCAAACATACCCAGACATCCCTCCTCCCACAGATGCCTCTGCTTTGTGCCTCCTTTGGAGCAGAGAGAGGCAGATATAAAAGCAGCATCTGGTACAAGGCAGCAGCAGCTTGCATCAGCCTGTGTTGCTGAAGTAGAATGGCAGTGCTGTGGCCTATTGCTGCAAACCTGGTAAGTGCAAGTGATTCCTGCATTTTCCTGTTTATTTTGGTCCTTTCTGGGCAGTCAGGGAAGGACTGGGAGGCCCTTCTTGCTGCCTGTACCCAGAGCTCCCTGTGGGGATGAACAGGAGCTCATCAATATGCTGGAGGGGAGGATTCATCCAGGTCTTACCTGACTATGTTGGGGTGCTTCAGCTCCTTCAGCAGTGAGATTTCTCGGATTGCAGTGCTGGGGACACCCTCCATCTCCCTGCAACAGGGACAGGCTGTATGGCACCCATCCCCCAGTGGGATCCTGCAGCCCATCAGGATCCTGTGTCCCTTCTCCCTTCCATTGTGCCCCATTGCCTGCCCAGGGGAGGGTCTCTCACACTGGGCACCCCGCCTTTGGGATGGAGTTGCACATGGGGCAGGCTGGGGCGAGGCAGGGGGAAACGGAGCTGTGGGGAAGGAAAGGGAGAAGGTGACCTAGACAGTGTGAACTGTGGGGCAGAGCTTGTCTGGGAGCACCTGGGGGCACATTTGGAGAAGCAACAGTTTAAATGCCCAAGTCTCACTTTTCTGGAGGTGGGGGGAAACGAAAGCTCCTTGACCCTCAGGCAGCAGCCTCCACTGTCCTGAGGGGCACATGGGCTGCACTCCCACCACCGTGTCTGTGGTCAACATTAACACCCCTCATTGTAGAGACAGCCGAGGGCCGACCCAGGGGAACAGTAATAAGCTTTTATCTGCTCAGTCCCCACCCTGGAGGGGTTGAAGTCAGCCCTGCCGGGACGCTGAGCCTCCCCAGGCCCTGGCACCTTGCCCCTGAGGGAGTCCAAAATGGCGGCTGCTTCCCCCTGCCCTGGCCACGGCACCAGGGCCAGAGAGTGCCAGGTTAGGCTCTAGCTGCTTGCATGAGCCTGTAGAGACATTGTTTTCCCTCATGTCAGGCTTTTTTGAGCCTCTCCCACCATTTTGGACACTGGGCTGCGCTCATGGGCCCCCTGCTCACTCCTATGGCCGGCT